AAAGACAAGAGGACAAAAACTAAAAAAAATGGAACATGGAACTATACGTTTCGGAGAACTATTTGAAATACGGAAGAATCAAGTGAAATATATGTCATTTATTTTATATTTTGTACAAATGTTTATATTTGTGTACGTGTATAGGAATGCTTAAATAAAAGAGTTTAAGTATACCTACAAATATTTATTTTTTCAAGATATCCTTTTGTATCTTATTTATTTCTACTGTAAAATTTATTATAAAAAGGTTAGATGTAATATTGACTATGCGTAGAAGAAATTGTAACTTCTTTATATTATTTTGCAGTAATGTTATTTGTTTTTCATGTACCTACCATTTCAAGATTCATTATCATAACTAATTTTTTTAATTATCATTTCGTCATTGTTACCATATTCATGATGGTCTCAACATTAGAAAATTTCCATTTCAGAAGCGTATTTGAACAATATAAAATGATGTGTAGCTTTTTTAAAATGCTTCTGATATTGTTTTGTGACATTTTTATTTGTACGATGAATGGCAGAATCCGTAATCCATATTAGAAACTTTTTCAGTGGCTTCTCAAAAAGAAAAAAATTCTTGATAAAAGTTGCTGCATCCCCAAACTAGAAGAGCAGTTATTTTTTTTTAATATACAATAACATTTTTCAGTTAAATTTTTTTAGAAATCAGAAAAAATTGTCTGGATTACGAATTAAGTCATTCACAATGTGATATATAAATATTACAAAAGAGTATTAGAAATATTTAAAAAATTACTCACACTGTTTATACTGTTTCAAGAACGCTTCTGAAATGGAAATTATCTAAAGTTGAGAGCATTATGAGAACAATATGGTATAAAAATTATTATGTTACTCAAACATTTCTGAAAATATACTGAAACGTAAAACAAAAATATCGAGTGCATAAGTGGAACATCAAAAGAATGTTACTGAAACCAATGTTTTGAAACGTTTCATTGGAAACGTATTTTGGGGAGGACATCTTCGGTTTCTTTTGGGTTACCAGAACGTTGCATGGATTTTTTAGAAACGTTTCAAGAAAAATGGAAACATTTCTGGAACATGTCAGAAACTGAAAAATGTTTAGTGGGTGATTAGGTTTTTTATTTTTTAGTCTGGTACACTGACTAATTTTGCGGAATTAAAAATAGTTTAGTGCCCTGATAGAGCAGCAGCAGAGGGATAATACGAACGAATCCTCTTTGTACGGTCTCTGTCAATTTCAAGTGTTTTTCTTTTTAACATTATTTCCCTTTCCAAGTCACTTCTAGCATTTATCAAGTTGGTCTGTGATCTTTCAGCTTCATTCAGTTGGGCCTGTAATGCGGCAACATTCTCTCCAATAGATTTTACTTCTTCCACCAATCTAGAATTTAAAAGAAGTTGTTAACTCGGAATAGTCAATTTAAAAGAAAAACTGATCACTATATTCATTGTACAGACAGCTTTATGTACTGAGTGTCAATTTATAGATGTATAAGCCATTTTTTATTTGAAATTTAAATAAGTGCGTCTTTAGTCTCTATTTAATAAAAAAAATATTTTAACTATTTTTCAAGCATTTGATAAGACAGATAAGCAGTACGTTAAAATATGTGAACTTGTAGGTAAAAGACAATCTCAAAACACAAATCAATGTCTGCGTGCATTTTTTAGAAAAATTGGACATTTTCAAGTAATGCATGTTATTTCGCAGTAATCCATTACTGCTTGATAACATTATATAGGGTTTTTCAAAACTAAACCGTGTATAATATATCAAAACATTATTTTCTCGTCTTAATGCAGTTTTCCAGAAAGTCGACAAAAAATGTTTCAATTCCAACGAAATAAATTTTTAAAATATAGCCATTTTTTAAATTTAGGAAATATGCACTAGGAAAAAATTTTGAAGATCCTCAAAAATGTGTCTTCATAATATTGGCAATATATGAATAAATGAATATGTGAATAAATTTGAGACTGCATGCAGTAAGTACCTTCTTCCTTATTTTTCACTCTGAACGGTTATCTTTGTTTTCCGATATCTACCTAAGGTTCCCAGAAGCTGTTTGTGATCTTTACCGAATATAGGAAATGAGAGAAAACGAAAGGGTCCTTTGCATATTATAAAAAATACAGAATGTGCGATTCTATGAGTGAGTTTAGGACAAAATTATTTAAACACTGGTCTGCAAATCAATTGTTTTCGAGATACGGGGTGTTGAATTCAAATAAAAACAAACTTTTCCAAAATATCTGAATAGATTTGACGCAGAATGTTGAAACTTAGGCTAATGATTTATATAATTATAATCCACTGAATTCAGACAAATATGTTTATCACTGACGGAGAAATCTGTTGCCACCCCAGACAGCACCATATATTCTGAGAATATTATCTAAACCTTCTAAAAAGATTATATATATTCTGAATATTCATAGAATGTTAATATGCTTATAAAATATTCGTAGAAGATCCCTTTTTAAATATACATATGATATTCTCTATAGATATGCTAATAATAATATCTCAGGAATATTCTTCAACTAATATTCCTAATACATTTTCAATAGGATATACGTAGTTTAAAGAAACTGTAATTTTTATTTAATAGGCAATAAAACTGAATACCTATTCTAATTTAATAATTTGGGGGCCTTTTTTAAATCGAATTTGCGCTTATTCCAATTTTAAGCAAAAAGTTGAAAATTAATCAAAATATTATGTTGTTAATGTTGGTAGTACCTGTCGTATGTTTTGTATTTGTAGTTGCCAGTTGGTAATTCATTGTAGTTGGTTAGAAAATGGTTAGCAGTGTTAGGTTAACATGTTCTTGTCCATCAATACAATATATTATAATTTGTACCGAGTACAATTGAATCAATTTACAATAATAAGTGCTGCATAAACAATGAATTATTATTATTAAAGTATTTTGTATTTTGCACAAAGCAGGTTTAATGCTTTATGGTGTTTGTTATGCTTAAGATTGATTAGAATTAGAAACTGTGACAAAATGGCAAAAAGAAGAAAGGAGACCTGGAGACCATATAAACTACAAAGTAAGTTTTCTTTAAGGCTATACTATTATTTGTTTAAATTAACGAAATGACAAGAAAACGAAATAAAATGTGGTATGTATTGGCAGTTTCATAGAGATTAATGAAGTTACAACAAAACTACCTTCATAAAATTCATTGGAAAAGAACTCATCTAGTGGAAGTGTCACTAAGCCTAAATCTTTGCAAAATTCCGTCCTAGAACTATCTCTTATAAAACCCAGAAATACATTATAGTCCTAGTAACACTGAGATTGATACGTTATTTGCTGAGATCTTAGTCAATCTCTCAGGTATATAGAACTGGCTTTAGTTATAAAATGAGCTTGGGCCAATCACTTCTTGTTTTCATTTTTTACACTTCTAACGTTTATTGTGGTGGAGAAAATAGGAATACATTTTCTACTAAAAGTTAAAGAAGTACGTTCAATTGAAAATAGTAATGATATCAAAAATGTAAAACCAAAGTGGAACCGTTTTATCTAGAAAGGATGAATATTATTAGTTCAAATTTTTTTCACATATTGACATACAGTCCAGCAAAAAGAAAATGCAAAAATATATATTTTTGTTTCAGAATTGGTAACCGAGAAGAAATAGACTGAGAGAGATGCCAGAAATGTTATTAGTGAAAAAAATAAAATAAAATAAATAGTTAACGAATTTATTATTAAGAGTAGTTATTACCCTCGTCCCGTATTTTATATTTTTAGCCATGAATATTAGTCTAATTAAATGGGCCTTTAAATCGCAATTTTGATCAACTTGCCTGAATTTTTTATATAAGTTAGTTTAAGGTATATAATAACAATTAAATGACAGTAATTTTTTTTTCAAATAAAAAATTCAGGCAAGTTGACCAAAATTACGATTTAAAGACCCATATAATTGGACTATATTCACAGTAAAGTTTAAAACATAGGTTCATAGAACATTACTAACATGTTCAGAGAACATACCCAGAAATATTCATGTAATATCTATCATATTCAATTTCACATCTATAATATATTCTAGGTACATTCTTATAATAATCTGACTAATTAAATATTGTACCAAGTATATTCGTTTAAGAATATTCTGATTTTAGATATTCTATATATATTCCTTGAATATTTGTGAATATCTACAGAATATTTCAAAATGTATATTCTAAGTTTATCTGAGATATTCCAGTATGATGATTCTAGGAATAATCAAATGTTCTAAAGAATATACTTGGATTATTCTGGGAATATATATTGCTGTCTGGGACTGGACATGTTGAAAATTATATTACAACTTCTATGGATAACTCCTTATGATGGTTAGAATAAATGATATTTTATCCATTTCATTTGAAAAAACGAGCCATTTAGAATTATAATTTTTTTAATTTTCGCAATTAAAATTTTCAACACGAACTCGTGTTGAAAATATTAATTCTAGCAAAAAAAAATCCATGAACTTTTTTGTAAAATGAGCAGTTCTAGAGTAGGTAATTCTACATTTTGTGGTGTTTGCGATGGTCACGTAAACGAAATTAAAAAAAATAATAAATCAAAAATGGCAAAGTTTTTGATAAAATGGACATCTTTTTGCGAACTCACGTTTTATAACATTTTTGGTTTAAATATCACTCAAAGCATCATCCCTTAAAGTTGTGCATATACTTAATTAACACCCTGTATAACAGAGCTGGGTAATTCCTGGTGAAAAAGTAATTAGCAATTACAATTCCCTTTTTTTCCCTGTAATTGTAATTGTATTTAAGTACTTTTTTTTATTAAANATAGAATTGCTGTTTTCTTTTACTCATGATTTCGGAATCATAACGCGTTACGATCCGAAATCTAGCAATCTGATTGGTTTCCATCGGATCGTAACAAGTTATGACTCCGAAATCATGAGTAAAAGAAAAGGGCTCATATCTCATATCATGGAGTATCTAGTCTCCCTGTCTCATATGTTCAAACACTTCAAACAGTTCAAACTCATTACTCAATCAAAACACAAATGTTAATGTCAATATATACAACACACAACGCAACGATTTCAAGATTTCATAAAAAATGTATATTTAAGAAAAGGTAACCTACTTTCTGCACAACTGATAAAAAATTTGTGATTATTCTAATACATAAATTATATTATTGATTCCAATGTTTGAAATAATATAATATATATAACCTAACTTTTTTATTTCAGAATCAACTATTAGCAATACTGCTATGACTTCTGATATTTATCATGAAAAGCAAGTTAGAGAATTATGTGCTCTGCATGCTTTAAATAATTTATTTCAGTCGAAAGATGCATTCACAAAAGCAGAATTAGATTGTATTTGTAATTCATTATCACCCGACCATTGGATAAATCCTCATAAATCTGTACTTGGTCTTGGGAACTATGATATTAATGTTATTATGAAAGCATTACAATCTAGAGGATGTGAGGCAATTTGGTTTGATAAGCGCAAGTAAGTTAAAATTATTTGAAAATTGTCTTTTGTAAGGAACTTTCTCTTCTCTGTCTTGGAAAGATACATATTTTAGTGATGGGCTCTATCAAATAAGAATTATCGAAATACTTGATAGTACCAAATTATTAAAATAGTTCATAAAGTATTCCAATGAAAATAGCAATGATTAACATGTCTATAGATGTGGTGGCTGGTTAATGTTAGTAGATAATATGAAACTAGGACAGACAATAGTTACATTACATTGCAAACAATAGTTATTGATAAATCTTTTTAAAATTAAATAAGGTATTTCGTGGTTCCCATATTTAATATACATTTATTCATATAAATTTATTCGATTGTTAACATCTACTAATTACTAGTTATTTGCTGAATTAAATCGATAGTGCCCATTAGTCGGACCATCACTAGCATAGATCTTTAGAGACAAGGCAAACTCTTTTCTAAATTGGTTAATACAAACAAAAATGGGTCCACTTTTTAAGATGTTAAATCATCTAGTTTTTAGAAACTTTTTATTCATGTAAAAACTTGTCTGTATCTTTTACTTAAAATTAAATTTCATGTTAGGTCACATTTTGTATGTAATAGTTTGTGTTGTTTTATATTAATTTTTTTATTTTTGTATTTACAGGGACCCTAGTTGTTTAAACTTAGAAAATATAAATGGTTATATTCTAAATGTGCCAACAGATTACAAAATAAGTTTTATTACATTACCTTTGCGTCGTAGACATTGGGTTACAATTAGGGAAATTGATGGACTATATTATAATTTGGATTCTAAGTTAGACTCTCCTCAAATTATTGGACGGGTGAGTGAATCTTATTGGTTTAATATACTGTTGGATACTTTCTGCTAAGTTGTAAACTAATGAGAACTGTTAATCACTTCTATGACAGTATTAGATATTCAGTTTTAATAGTAAGCATTTTTTTGTGTTAATGAATTTTGCTTGAGACCTGAATAGGGCTGTCAGTCTTCAAAAATCAAAAAATGGGAAGAGCCTCTGTGGAGATGGGTTAAGGAGGTTCGATACATCTCTTGCGGGGCAGGCGGTGCGGAAGGGAAGCCTATGCTTATATACGGTAGTTTTGATGTAGTACCAACCTTACACAAACTAATTTAAGCGAACTAAATATAATATATACGAATGAAATTTATACACGGCAATTAACTTTTTATTTGAATAAAAGTGTCTATTCATTAGGAGTTTGTAAAATTATGGATGAAATCTGGCATCATTGCCACTGCCATGGCATGGTGGTGAAAGTTGGGTCTACTGTCATTACTGTCAACTGTGCTTTGCAGGTATTCCGTAAACATGAGTGAACATCCAAGATATAAAGGAAAAGTAATGACTGAAAAGCAATATAAAATGCGTATGAAACAGAATGTGGATTGATGAGAAAAAAGTGAAAAAAGTTCAGTGTATGATAGTGAGACGTCACCTTGTCAAATTGAAAATTATGACAGAACATCTATACTGTCCGTTTTGTAAAGAAATCCTTTCAATTTTTGTTTCAAATTGCTATTATATTGCATTAGATCACAAAAAATTTATTTAATATTAATTATTACTACATATATTTTCGACTAAATTATATAGTCTATAATCGAGCTATTCAAATGTAGCGTGTCAGTCGAAGCGTTAAATACAGCGTACAGTGTTGTCATATTTCCTTTTATTGGATCAGATGTTTGTTCAAATTTGTCGAAACGTTATATATCTCAATAATTACATAGTAAGTGCATATTTTTATTGTTTTAAAATGTTTAGTAATATTTAATTCTTTAATTAGAATTTTATTTTCCCCATCCTAACCATTTTTAAGAGCTATATTTACGTTTGATTAAAGTTTTTTCCCAAGTCCCATAAGAGCCTGTGTATAAGAGCATAATTTTTAATATAATTAAAAAAAAAAACTATATTGGCAATCGATCTGATATTTCTACACGAGCCAGTTGGCATATTTATTAACAGGTTTCAATAATTTTTAAAACTTTCTTACCATTTTTTTCGGTTTTGTCTAATTGTTGGCATTACAGAAAATTAAGCTGTTTGCATCCAGAGAGCGGCATGGTGAACCCATGAGATCTAAGAAAGGGTGCCTTAAAAAGTGTCAATTTGTTGCTTAAACAGTTATAATGGGGTAATAGAAGTAATAAATGTAATAAATAGTAATGATAAATGCGTAATAGGATCTAAGGGCATCGATCATAATGTGACCTGGATCTTGACGGCCTAGAAACGCCAAAATTTGTAGGCTAATATCAGCCTTTACTTTGACTTATCTCGAATTAAATTGATTGTTCATGTTAAATTGAATAAATTTGCAATTTGGTGGCAAAAGCTTCTATAAATAATAAAAAATATATTTTTCATAAAATCTCCATATACCTACTTAAATTTTACGTAATAGTATTTACAAAATCTGATAATATTGTATAATAGGAAATAACTTAATTTCTATACTCATTCACTCTCGTTGGTGATCTCGGTTCTCTGTCCTATTGTACACTAAATATTTTTTATTTGATATTGCCATTTTGGCCAAAAATCAGGGGACCTGATAGTCCTAGATTTTTTTTTTAATTGTTCGGTGGATATACTATTTTTGGTAATTTTTATCAATTTTCTTTAGAAATTATAGAATTAAATTTTTTTAGGAAACAGATCTGTTAAGCTATTTAAGAGATGAATTAGACTGCAAAGACAAAGAACTGTTTTTGGTTGTTACTAGTGAAGTTGAGAAGAATCAAAGTTGGTTATTGGATCGAGCTAATTATTCAAATTCTTTAAACTATAACAGGGATGTGGAAATTGTACAATTGAAAGATATATTAAGTGAAGGTTTTATAGATCCCTCTTGCGAAGACAAGCAGTGTAATCATTTTTCATAGTAAAGTGGCCTAGTAATTTTTATAATTTTTCAATTTTCAAGACTGTTGTTTTTGTTGTCTGCTATTTTAATAATAAATATCTGTATCTGTGTATTTATAAGTTATGAAATGTTAAATATTGTGGCAAATTAAAAATAATACTACGATTATTAACGATAGCAGATTTTTAATGTAATAAAATATAGTCAGTGTCGTTTGAATTAACAACACTTTTGAAATGTATGTAGTCTTGACTTTAGTGTGCATGATTATAAACAAAATTGTGTTCATTAGCATAAAATTTTGAAATTCAATGATGTAATTATATTTTAAGAAATGTTAACGAAAAATTGTATAATACTTTGAACTGTTTGCATTTACAATGTGCAGTTTGAGAAGACAAGATGAAAAGATTCTTAAAATGTGGACGTTTTATGTTAAACAAGTATTGTGATTTTAACAACATATACCAAAGCAGGTAGTATACACCTATTGAACTCTTTTGCCTTGTTTTCTTACATTGGTAAACACAGTTGTTATTTTGACATTTTTGAAAAATGATACACATACTTAGTTTGAAATTTTGAACTCTGTAGGCATGGAATTCAAAAAGACAGTGCGTAAATCAAATTTTCTCTGAAATTGCATTTAATTTTATCTATTATTAGTAAATATATGGAAAGTTATTTTGGATGCTTTCATTGTATGAACATTAGTATTATGGGTCCATATTATTTTAATTGAAACACTTTGAATAAAAAGTATCTACAGCATGATCCTAATATTCTTATGCACGTTTGGATGAAGGAATTATCTAATACTCCAGACAGTATCTGTTTCAAAAAGCCATATTTGGGTGAATCGTATATCCACGGAGATTTTTGCCTTTTTGGCTTTCAAATATCACTAGAAATGAAAATTTTTCTATGCGCATAAAAAAAACGTGGCCTTAACTTTTGGCGGCACAATATGTTAAAAAAATTGGAAAAATGTCATATTTTTCTTCCTATTTAATTATGTATCTTTTCAAGAGTTGATTTTAGGCGAAAATGGAAGAGGAAAAAAATGTTTGTAATTAAATTTTTTACAAAACATGACTAGTTACAAATCGAATGAATCATGATTATTATGGTAAAAATCGAAAAAATCGCAAAAATGGGGTTAAAAAACAATACTTTTTAGGGAATTTTTTTGGGGTATTTAAATTGGGTATAGGACCTTTATACTTGGCTCAAGAAAACTTCATGTTATGTAGAATCATCACACCAAATTTCATCAAAATCGGTTCGATAGATTTTGCATAATAATTTTGCAATCCAGATTTTGAAAAAAAAATTGCAAATTTTCAAAATTTTGCACAGCAAAAACCAAGGCCCTTAGATACTTGAAAATTTAATCACATATAGAAGGGCTCTCAAGCTTTCAAACTTTTTTTGAAAAATTCGAATCCGTCAATTAGGAGAGCTCTGGCGCTTGTTTAAACATTGGTCGAATTTTTGTACTTATAAACAATTAGAATAACTTTGTGAATATTCAATCAAATCAAATTTTTTAAAGCAGGTTTTAAAAGTTCTTGGAAAGACGCTTCTTTAAAAAAAAAAAAAATCGATTGATCAATTAGTTACGTAGTTATAGCCGTCATTTACACTAAATGTACTGGGACATCCGGGCTAATTTTTCGAAAAATACCTTTGGTATTCCGAGTACTTACCAGGTCTAAGATTACAATACTTTTCTTCATTGGCAACCTACTTTAAAACGTGTTTAAAGTTATTTATGCAAGCGAGAAATTCAATAAAATCGTACGGGTGGTGGTGGTGGGGGAAGCAGAGAGCGCGGCCGCTTCGGCCTGCTCGAAATTGAATCGGCTATAACTACGTAACTAATTGATCAATCGATCTGTTTTTTTTTAAAAAAGAAGCGTCTTTCCAGGAACTTTTAAAACCTGCTTTAAAAAATTTGATTTGATTGAATATTCACAAAGTTCTAATTGTTTATAAGTACAAAAATTCGACCAATGTTTAAACAAGCGCCAGAGCTCTCCTAATTGACGGATTCGAATTTTTCAAAAAAAGTTTGAAAGCTTGAGAGCCCTTCTATATGTGATTAAATTTTCAAGTATCTAAGGGCCTTGGTTTTTGCTGTGCAAAATTTTGAAAATTTGCAATTTTTTTTTCAAAATCTGGATTGCAAAATTATTATGCAAAATCTATCGAACCGATTTTGATGAAATTTGGTGTGATGATTCTACATAACATGAAGTTTTCTTGAGCCAAGTATAAAGGTCCTACACCCAATTTAAATACACCAAAAAAATTCCCTAAAAAGTATTGTTTTTTAACCCCATTTTTGTGATTTTTTCGATTTTTACCATAATAATCATGATTCATTCGATTTGTAACCAGTCATGTATTGTAAAAAATTTAATTACAAACATTTTTTTCCTCTTCCATTTTCGCCTAAAATCAACTCTTAAAAAGATACATAATTAAATAGGAAGAAAAATATGACATTTTTCCAATTTTTTTAACATATTGTGCCGTCAAAAGTTAAGCCCACGTTTTTTTTATGCGCATAGAAAAAATTTTCATTTCTAGTGATATTTGAAAGCCAAAAAGCCAAAAATCTCCGTGGATATACGATTCACCCAAACCAAAACAGATACCGCCTGGTCTATAATTTCTATCTACTTATTTTGATTTCTTTACATTCTAAACTGCATTATCCATGGGAAAAATATGATTGATCCTTCCTAAACACTACATTTTTGGTGCAAGCCATATCCAAATTAGATCATCATGGAAATTATTTACAAACTTAGTTTGGAATATCTGTAGAGCCTTAAACATTTGTGTGCGTGTTTACATTACACGCGATGATCTTTTAAATTAATAAAAATTTTATAGTATAATAATATTAATAATATTAAACATACATACAACATATTTATATTATAATTTTTCATAAAAATATGTCTGGAGACACTTCATTTTCAAGAGACATTTAAATTGAAGCTATTTCATTAGGTACCCGAAAAATGTTCATATACATATTTTGGATTTGGACTAATAATTTTTGTTATAAGATACTAAAGGCCTTACAAAAATATATTCTTAGAGGAAAAAAGCATTAGCTTATAGTAAGTCGAATGCCACAATTATACAAACACATTATTAGGATGCACCGTTTCTGAGATACCTATGTATCGGGATGTTGAATAACTTCTCGCTATTTTTTCGTTAAAATTAATGCTGTATATAACAAAATTATTAAAAAACATTGTCGAACCATTTTTTGCCATAAGAATGGAAGTGCTGCTCAGCCAGGCCATCTCCCATCGATCGGAACAAATGATGAGTCATCTGCCATACAGCCCTGATTTGGCACCCACAAACTTTTTTATTCGAGCACATCAAAAATAAATTATGAGGTCAACGTTTTAGATGTACTTCAATCAGAATAGAAAAAGTGCTTCGAAAATTGGTTCAAACACATGCAAAATTATATTGACTCATGGAAAATATTTTGAAAAACAATAAAATCAGATATGATTAATTTCTTTGTTTGTTCTCTATTCTGGATAATATAAAAGGCATATAACTTTAGAATTCTGAATGTTTCCCAAAAAGACAACACTCTATAAGAAATACAAAGAAAACAATATCATTATCAATGGAAATATGTATAATCCACGGTCGAAATTATAGAGAGTGATTCATCGCTAGCTTTTGGATTAGTAAGGGGGATGAAGCGTGCCGGGAACGAAAATCCATTGGCATGTCTGCGTAATAGGCAACAAGATATAGAAGATAATGAAAAAAGATAATAAAACATAACATCTAATATTTTTAACGGTTTGCTATAACAGGCACTTAGATCCATTTTAATTATTACAGCATTTTAAAACGTCCCAATTGTGTTTTTTTAATTAATAAATTTATTATAGCCATGGAATTAGACCCCTCGTCTATGCTTATGCTATGACGTTTCTCAGGACGGGTTAAATCAAGTCCGTTTACACCCACTAAAAAAGCATTTCCCTATTCCCTACCAAGTGCAAAAGACAGAGATAGAATATAGATCGACGTTCAGTGTAACTCGGTCTCTAGACGATTATAGATTCTATCAATGTGCGTAGCGAGCGGCACAAAGATAAATAATATTGAACCATATAAAAATCATTTTATATTTTATACGCATTATGGTAATAGTGTTTTTATATTATGTCTTAGTCACTCTTTATAATTTTGACCACGGAGTATAGTTAATTTTAACAACCAAAATTTTTTAACTATTAATTTCTGCACAGATATGCATAAAGAATACGCAATAGATAAGTAAAGATCTCTATACATTTATTTATTGTAGATGTACTGGTGCATAGTATAATATATATAATAAATAAAAACAACACATAAATATTTATAATAAAAACAATCAACAAAAATATAGTAATAATGATAAATAACAAAATATAATTTAAATAATCATACAATTATTTGACTAGAACAGTGTCATACAGTTCTGTAAAGGATATTCAGATGGTTGGCCAGAAGACTGAATTTGTTGTGATGACTGAACGGCAGCCATGGCCATTGAAACAGGCGTTGTCGAAGGATATGATACCTAAAAAAATATTTGCATTTATACTTTAATTAATTATTTTAGTCAGTTAATCAGTAGTGAGTGTAACCATTTCTTGGTTCTTATTCTAAAGAATTAAGGGGTAAAACAAGAATTTTGAAATAATCAATTTTCGGAGAAATGATTTCAACGATGTTTGAAGAATATAGAATACAGGAAAAAAGTTTTTTTGAGGTGCAACCACCCACAGCGCACTGCAGGAGTGCTTATTGCAACTTGTATAAACGCATGCGACAGCTATCATAGAGGCCAGATTGAGTCTCAGATCATGCCGAAAAGAAGATAATGAAGAAAATATCAATATAAAAATCCAATTATATGATGCAGACATCGCTGATTGAAGGTATACATTTTAGATCACAGATCACTTTTCACTTTTTAAAAAAATTAATTTTTCACTTAAAATTATGATTATAACTTATGATTAGAATCTACTGCTCTTCTTGCGCTTCACATGAGAATGCTTTGTTTCGAGGAAGGTGTTATCTATGGTGTCATATTACCTGATATCTAATACTCTTAAATAATTTTCGTATATAACATACATATAATGAATTTCTTATGCTGAATGGCAACAAGAACTTTAGAAGCGTTTTTCGAGAAACCACTATTTTTTTAATTGGGCGGAAACATTACTCAAACAGTTTTGAATGAATCGACCTGAAATTTTGTTCAGAGCTACATAATATAATTCAGGGGAAAGAATAAAGTTATCGCTGTTTCCTAGTTACCTAGAACAAGTATGACGATTGCTCAGATAGTACTTATCTTGAAAAACGAGTATATCAGTAACGATCAAGTGTAACGCCGAAAATGTCATTTTTATATGAAAATATTAATATCTGGGAAATGGCAGATTTTTGACACATACCTAGTACCTATTATGAAAAAGTTGCATAATTCCATGTAAAATATAAATATCCAATCAAATACCATTTAAAAAATACAACTTTGGTCAGCCCTCCGAAAACAAATCACCTTGTATAAATCAAATTATTTTTAAAATATGCCTTTCTTGCCCCTCCACCCGAACTTATTTTGAAATATTTTGCCTCAATTATAGCTATAAATCAACTTTGCCACAGCGTCAATTCACCCTGTATACTTGATTCAAGACTCAATCTGGCCTCTATAATAGCTAACTATCGCGCGCGTTCTCACGAGTTACAATAAGCATTTTAGCAGTACGCTGCGAGTGGTTATGGTCCACCTCAAAAAAAACTCGCGTTCCCGATTTTTCCCCCGCCTAAAACTTTTTTCCTCCATTTTTCACATAATAAAGCATTTTTTAAATTATCCAAAAATCGATGTTCTCAAAATTCTAGCGTGGCTTTATACATTTATTTTGGTACAGTACATGTCAGAAGAATATGAAATGGATTCGTTGGGACTCAAAAGATATGCATACACAAATAAAGCTGCGAAATAGTAACATCTCAAAATTTGTGAGTGAAGAGCTTGCGGTTGAAATGTCAATAATTTCTATAGCTCAAGCTCGATTCTGGAGAATGACAGTTTGAAATACTTTTAATAAAAATGTTGTCAAATTTCTAGGTTCAGTGATAATCATTTTTAATATGGATCTTTTAAACCATATAACAGTTAGTTACTTATGTCTAAAATATTTATATAACTTTCTGCCTTTGACCTAGACCAGGGGTCAACAAACCGCGGCTCGCGAGCCGCATGCGGCTCTTTCAAGAGACTACAAAATGTGGGTACTGGCCTCAAATGAAATTTATCCTGCTATTTAATATGTATCATGGTACTCACCGTGGAGTTGTGATGAAATCTAGGATCTAACATCATTGCCGCCGCAACTGCTGCAGCTGTAGATGTTGCAGTTGATGGGTTAGTTCTAGCAAGCATATGGTGATTGACGATGTTATTGTTATGATGCTGACTGGTTGTTCTTTGGTTATGTCCTGAAGTTAAAATTTGATTGTGGATGTTGTGGGCATGATTGTGGTGGTGAAAATCTGTTGGGTCCCCAAAATGATGATAATTCGAATTGATTGCAGTTAAGTTGGTGGCTGAAATTATTATTTAAGAGCAATGCATGTTGTACTCATTGTAGGGTTTTGTTGATAAGCATAATGACCACATCATGCCCTGTTCTATTACATCTTTTAAGCCTAATTAATTTTATTACTGGACTTATTACAACAAAGAACATAGTTGGATTTAGAAAATCGTAAAGAAAAATATATTGTTGATATATACAAATATAAATTGACATACCTGTAGATGGTGTAGTGTGATTTTGATGATGCATAATTAACTCTTGGATCTCTGAGCCCATCGGTTGTGTGCCTGGGGTAGTAGATGTACTGTTTGTCGGAGTGAAATTTACATTACTTGTATTTGTAGTTGTTACTGGTGGATTATCTTGAGATGACTAAAATTATATAGTTATGTTTTTTTACCAGATAATAATTTGCCTACATATTATATTTATATATCCCATCAACATAAAAACTTTTTTTTTGTTCATAGCAATGTGACTGGTTCCTGTTTTACTATTCAAGAATTCTATGGGAAACTGTATATTTTAAATTGCTAGGGTACGGTTATTTATTGGTAATCAGAAATGAAAGTCAATAAAAATAATATTTTCAACATTGACGTTGACTAATCACAATAAATAACAACAAATCTCATGTAAGAATTAAACAACTTACAACTGAGATTTGTTGAAGCCAATTTGGAATATGTGCAACTTCAAATTCAAAATGATTTTGTGATGAATCCATTTTGCATACTAATAGTTGTGATATATCAAGACTTATTTTGTTCTACATTCACACAAAAAAATATATAAGTAGAAAATTAAGTCATATTTTTATTGACTTCAGTTTAGCATCTATTGTATACCTATGGAACTTGAAGAACTTTTTTATTTATGTTTAGGCAAGCATGAAGTATTGAAATAAAAGAGAATTTTCTGAACTTTCTTAATGATGCAATATGTAATTATATTTTATAACTGTGTACAAGTATTTAAAACTGACCACCAGATTTTATTACATGTTACTCTCAAGCACATACATTTTTTTTAAATGGCTGAGAATAATGATCAGTCTAATATTTTCGCTCCTAATATTTTCAGAAATGACCAATATACTTTGTAAAAGGGAATGATAGATATCACGTTTTTCTGCGACATCTTACAAAAATCTTGAAAGATATTTTATCCATATTTTAAATTTAGGCTTAGGGCATACGGACGTATTACGGACACTAATTTACGCAAATTCAAATCCCACATTAAAAGAGTTTTAGGGGGTCTTAAATTAAAAAAGCTATGAATAAAATATTAAAATTACTCTACGTATGACATGAAAATTAAATAATACTATTAAGGAGGATCATGTGGCCTTATATTTACCATGTTAAAAAATGATTGCTGCCAATGCGAAGAAAAATAGTCTTTATGACTAGAAAATAGATTGAGATACTTGCTTGTGAATGAATAAAATTGAGTTTAAAATATTTATAATTATATATTTCCATTTCTCAATTATAATTTTTTTATCCAATATGCATAAATAAATACCACGAGTTGCAACAGAAACTTGGCAACAGCAGCAACAGTACGAGTATACCGAGTTTATTATTTGTAAGTTGTCAGTTCTTGTCATGTATATGCTATGTGATCATTCACATAGCTGATCGCTTTAACCTCTAAAATGTGGGATAAAGAACAGAGTCGATGGAAAGGAAAATTTGCGACCAAAAGAAAATACAAGTGCTTGAGGTTTAGAACAGAAAATGACAAAATGAGGAAAAAAGCTATTGTAGAGAAGATTGTAATGAACTTTTTTTTATTTTCGGGATTTTCAGATTTTATTTACATTTTCAGTAATGAACTTTTGTTTATTTTGCTCCCACTGTACTATAATTGTTTGATGCACCGCGATTTTGCACATGGCCTACGAAGTCGCTGTTTCAACGACTGAAGTTGCACACGGCACTACCAGCCGTTCTGTATAAAAGCAATGGAGTCGCCCACACCAGGCAGTGCTTAGTAGGTCTTTCCACGGCATTCAACCCTCCTCTGGGTGTCCTAACCAGAGCGTTTAGCAGGTCTCTTCCGCAGAGCTCAAGGTAAGGTACACACCTGGACTCCGACTCCGGGTGCTTAGCAGGTCTTTCCGCGGTAGCCGACGTCTACCTCGTGGCCGACTCTGGGTGTTTAGCAGGTCTTTCCGCGGCACTCGGCGTCGTCACCGTCAGGACATATGTATTGCCTTCGTGACAATAGGTATCCCGGTGTTTATGTTAAGTTATATGGGTGTATTTACAGACTGCGATTTATTTTGGAAAATAAAAGTTTTATTTATACTGAGTCTTGTAATATTCCCGAACCTTGGAAAACACTTCTCCACCGAGTGAACCCGGACTGTGAAAAGTGACTGTACTAGTTCGGCGCCTGCGACCCAACCCCGAAAGTACACCACATAATTTTGGCGCCCGAGCAGGGACCGGAATAACGACAAGAGCAAAACAGGGACCATAGTATCAACAACTGTGAGAGGAGGGATAAAGGAGAAGAGATCAATATATTACCATTCTAATCCTTAAGAAAGGTTACTGTGAGCATTCGTACCGTGGATCCGCCATTTTCTCGAAAAAGCCGAATTTAACCGAACATTTACGAAGACACCCGAATTCAAGTGGGGTGTCGTTTTCAACATAATTGGCTCCAGGAAAGCGTTTACGACTATTTCCGACTGCATCCGACAATTACCCACCGAGATATTAAATAAAAAAAAACCCTCAGCTAAAAATTCCCACAATTTGAAGTGAGAATCAGGAAGAAGGTGTAGCCCGAAATCTGTTCAGCAAGTTTTATCATAAAATGCCTTCTGACTCCGAAGAAACTGTAGCTGGCCTGGAAATCACTGATCCTAGGGTAGGATGGGTTTACAAACTAAATAAAGAAACATTGACAGCTGAGCTTAAGCTTTTCAATCTAGAAACCGGAGGCATAGTGGAAGTGATGAGACGGCGCATCGTAAGGTTCCTACTCAATGGAGCTCCCGTAGCACGATCTGCACCCTCCGAACTGACTATATCGATCCCCGAAGTACCGAGAATATCAGCTTTCGAACTACTAAATCAAATACGTAAACTTAACATTGTGTTTGATGGCAAAACAGACCCGATATCATTTCTAGAAAGACTAGAACAGGTGCAGAGCGAATACGAAATTACCGATGCACAGTTACTGAAAACTTTACCAGGGGTGCTTCAGGGAAAAGCATACCAGTGGTATATGAACTATAAACATAACTGGAGTACTTGTGATGACTTTGTGCAAGATTTTAAAACTTTCTTCTATCCGTCCGATTACCGGGACAATTTAGAAGAGATGATAAGTTCCAAGTATCAAACTAAACAAGAAACTGCCCGCAATTTTATTCTAGAAATGCAGACTATGATACGACGACATGGAGGATTTTCAGCCGAACGAGAAGTTACTTGCATTTATAAGCGTTTGCGGACCAAATATCGTCAATATATCCGAAGAACGCAGGTAGAAACAATTTCTGATTTGGTGCAACAAACCTACGAGTACGAACAACTCCAAACAAAAAGACAAAGAAAAGAAAACAAAACAAGAAAAGTGACTGAGCCTGTACGAAATGCTGGCATTGCAGATTCACAACCAGTGGCGGCGCGTGAACATTGATTGAATGTGTTCTGCTTAGAGTTGTTACATTTGTTGAATTGAATTCCGGGATATTAAGTGCCCGGAGTCTCTAAATGGTACCGCAGGCGAATAATTTTAAAATTTTCAAGGTCACGCGTTTTCCTGGCACTTCTGTATTTCAAGGAACAATGAATTTATAAAAAAAATATAGATTTTCACAAGAATGATTTTTGAAATTGATACCTTTTTGAAATATCTATTTACGAATTACCTACTGACGGTATAAATAAATTGGAATAAACTAAATATATTTTATTAAATTATTGAATATTGTTTATAAACAAAAAAATCGTTTGTGAAATTTACCAACGATTCAACGAATTTTAATTTTCCTCGGCGTGTTATGATTTTTTCTTTATCTTTTTTTATATATATGTACATTATATTATATTCCGGGAGTTATACGTGCAAATCCGAAATCCGGGTCCATACAGCTAATTCCCCGTACAATCACAGAAAATCTCGGTCATACCTATGTGGCTAGATGCTCTTTTAAAATGTCGTCAAGATCTGCACTAAAATTTATGAGTCCACGAAACACATCAGGGTTGTCCGAATTTTCTGTCTCGTCTTTCACACTGTATATTGTCCATGCTTTATCCCCACCGAAAAGTAAGCACGGAAAACAAAACGGTGAATTTTTTAAATCACACCCGCACACCCACTCTGCTTTTGTGTATACATTATTATTTTTTTATAACTTTTACTTCTTTTATTTTTAGTTTATCCTCATAAGGCAAGCAAATAAAGTTTTTTTTAAACGAAACGCTATTCATTTTAATAACTATAATATCCGTAGACGCCTAAACGAAAATACTCACACGTGCCGGTCGCATAAATAAACCACCACATACCACGTACGAAATATTACTGTATTTATTGCAGCGCAGTGGCTGTCGCTATTGCAGCCGCAAAAGCCCCTATCTTCGTGTACTGGGTCATTTGCCTGATTAGCCAATAAAAACAAAGGACGTATATAATTGTTCGCTGTCCACACATTTTGTATATGAGGTTGCATATATTAAGGAGCGTAGCTCGCGTCGCAATAAATAATAATATAAGCTCCTAGATTTATTTTAGCGCGAGTACATTTGGATTCTTTAAATATTTTGTTGATATTTAATATGATTAAATACATAAAATTTTATGTGTTCTGCAGCTCCGCAGCTCTTATGGTAAAACCGCCTCTGTTCACGACCCAATAGAACTATCAGACCGAATTCTCGCCCTAACCACGAGACAAATAACCGTTCACAAACAATACCCAGACAGGATGCGAACACTATCTGTTGTAGATGTGGAGCCATAGGACATACGAGATTTACATGCCGAGGACCATTCCGCTTATTCTGTTCCCGATGTGGACGGGAAGGAGTACAGACTAGACATTGCTGATGTGTTAACCAGAGCCACGCGACACAGGGAAATGCCGTCGGGGCTGGAACTCCGCGAGGCCAGCCCAGCACCCGACAATCAAGGCCTCCGAACCATTAACCATTTCCGTACTGTTTACCAGTACTAATGCAAGTAACTGGTTGAATAACCGCATTCGAGTAAATATAGACATTTATCACCGATCGTTTTCTGGTTTAGTTGATACAGGATCGGTGAGATCTTACAATCAGTCCTGTTGTGGCCGAATATTGTAAGCAAATGGAGAATTTACCGAATCTGGCAAAACAGGAAATACAAGCAGAATTAGCCAATGGAATTTTGGATAACATTGCCGAGGAGTTTCACATCCGAGGGCAACTGTTGTCAACGACTGTTGCAGCTGATTTTCTTCTTATGCCGTCGTTGACTATAGACTGTGTATTGGGAATGGATTTTCTCACCAAATATAACTTTACCATCGATATAGGAACCAACCAGATTACTATATACGCTAAGACAGATAGGGTGTACCCTACTCTTCCATTGTTATGTTTATCCGAAGTTCAGAAGAAAGAAATTGCCGATTTCATAGAACAAGAATTCACTGCATTTAAAGAGATACACGGCTACACTAACATGGCTGAACATGTTATTCGCTTAAAGGATCCGACTCCTATAAAACAGAGGTATCGTCCTAGAAATCCCGCAATGCAGAAAATTATTGATGATGAATTAGAGAGAATGCTAACCGACGGGATTGTACAACCATCCGATAGTCCGTGGAGCTCACCAATTGTTTTGGCTGAGAAGAAGGATGGCAAACGCCGCTTCTGTATAGATTTCCGTAAATTAAAGGAAGTGTCTATAAAAGATGCATATCCGCTGCCTATGATCAATGACATATTTTTCCAGTATTGACCTAAAACAGGGATACTGGCAAATTCCTTTATCACCGGAAAGCCGACCGTTAACCGCTTTTAATGTTCCGAAAGGATTATCCAAATTCGTTTAAATGCCTTTTGGCTTGCATTCCGCTTCAGCTACATTCCAAAGGCTATTGGATAAGGTTTAAAGCGATTTAGGTAAGTATTCTACAATTCAATATATATGTATACTCCGTGGTCGAAATTATAGAGAGTGACTCATCGCTAGCTTTTGGACTAGTAAGGGGGATGAAGAGTGCCGGGAATCATTGCAATAGAATTGAATTACACAAATAAACGCAAGTTGAATGTAATCTATTTCTGATGACCAATTTAATTTGCTTATCAAAACATTTCTTTAAATTTCCCGTCATCTAACCTCATTCATACTCTATTGCGCTGATACCATTACTCCTTCACATTTAATTTATTTCTCTGTGAAATGTGTGGTAACTTACTTTTTTCTTTCTCTTATCTATTAATTAATTATTCAGGTAAATGTATATATTTTTTCGTCTTACCATTTGCATTTTTTCACCCATAATTCGATTGTAAGGGTATATATCGTAGCATTTCCCGTAAAAAACTACGTTAAATTTTTGGCATTATTTAAAAACAAAAACAAATCGATAAATAATTTTACAATTCATAGAAATTGATTTCGCATTGCCAAAATAATATATCTCAATAATATGATATTGGCTACATTTTTTCATAGGACCCGATCCTCCTTAAATTAGAAGCCCTAAGTCTGTTTGAAATATGAATAAGCTATATTTAAAAAGTTTTAAGATATCACCAATAACAAGATACCTTATTATCCATTTATGAAAAAACATTTATATAAACGGGTGTTTATTTTTTTATTTATATGTCGAGAAATAATTTAAGTACACCCTGTATAAAGTGTGATGTTTCAAGTTTTCATACAAGATTACACTTGCTGAACAAGATTTTTATATTTGACAAAAATTTGTAACTTACTTGTGATTTTGGCCTTGTGCTGGTATTTCTTAACGGCCTGGCTTTATATGGAACTTTAGCAGAGGCATTCTCACCATGGTGTCTGGTGAAATGTTCCTTTAGCTTATCACGTCTGGAACTAGCATAGTCACAGTTTGAACACTTAAATGGCTTTTCTTCTAGATGTATCCGTTCATGTCGCACAAGATGTGACTTTTCCATGAAACCTCTTCCACATATTCCACATGTATGCGGACGAACTCCATTATGGCTTTTTGCGTGACTCGCCAGCTGATTCTTTTTTGAAGTTGAATATTTACAATGAGGATATGAACATCTGTATATATCACCTAATGAAAAAATGTTTATACGTATAGTAGAAATGAAGGGAAGATTTACATAGTTTTGAATTATCACACATTAAAAACAAACTTTTTCAATGTTATTTTATTGTTTTTTTTTTTAACAGATACATATAGAGGAACTGTAAATTTGAGACACTAAAATATTACATTTTAATCAATTTTTTTTATAATAAACAATAATGTGGCATTTTAATTTAACACCTAGAGAGCGCCACATATATTGAATTTGATAGTTTAATAGATCCTAAATTGTTTTGCCATTAATTTTTTTCCTTCATATTCATAAAATATACCATAAACATTAATTTTTTTGCCTTGATATCTAAAAAACAGCAAGTAATAACAAAATCAAATTGGGATTACCTTGTGGTGACATAATGTACTTTAAATGATCTACAAATGATTCACCACAAAAACAGAGGCGTGGTACAGTTTTGGCCGAATTAAAAAATAATATTTATTATTTTTATGAAGAGAAACTATTTAACTGAAAGTAAGAATCTCTCCTGATGTTCAAAGGAACATTTTATATAAAATTGGCATAATTTTCTTCTAGGATTGTCAGAAATTCTTGGCTTCCATCTCCATCCACACTGTTCTTTGAAATCTTTTACTTCGGCTAGCATGAAGATTAACTCAATTAACTAACTAATTCTGTGTATTTTTACTGTATACTAAAAGAGTTTTCCGCCATTAACTCATAATTCTTTAATTTTATTATAATTTTGCACAAATTGCATTTCGTTTGAAAATGATGAAACATTTCAAAAATATAAAATTTAAAAAACCATAGGTGTTTTAAAAAAGTGGCACTGATTACTTATCTACTATGCGATCCTTGTAGTGAATCATTTGTAGTAAACATTATGTTACCATAGTTGATTAATTCTTACAGCCATTATAAATGTGACAGCTACAGCTCATTATAGACAAAGAAAAGAAACTGTAATGAAATGAAATTATTTCCATAACATAATTATCAACAAAATTTGCCAGCACAAGTTAAAAGATAAAGAAAATATCAGTTGTTTATGGTTAGTTGGGTTGGGACTTAAAACATGTCTTAGTTTCTTAGGAAGTGGAAGTGTTAAGTGGTGCATCCTGTAGTCAATAATTAATGTTGAAACAGTTTTATTTTAAAACACAGAAGCAAATATCGAGGCAACCAGCCTGAAAACTGTTCAACAATTGACAATGGCCACAGAAGTCTGTAAGCCAAGATAATATTTTAACATCCCAAGATTACAGTTGATTTGTGTCTCATTAAATTTAAAACAATTTATATAATAATTAATTATCAACAATACATACACATATATAGTTTGTAAAATGTTATAGTGTCAGACACCACATTTTTGATATAGTTTCTCTTTTCAATAATGTTTAAATTTCTGTGATGTCTAACAAGAAAAAAGTTATGAACAAAACAAATTTTGAGTTCTAGGTAAAGTGCCCTCCAGTGGCACATAATGAAACTTTTCTCTGACCGGTCCAATAGAGCCTGATCTACTCAGTGGGTGTGCTTAATGAGATACTAATCGAACTTGAATTAAATTAGATATTTAAAAAGAAAAATAAAAAAAATTGAACTTTGACAAACTGTAACTTGCAAACAGTAGGGTTGTTGACTATAAAAACAAACCATATATAAATTGTTGATACAAAGATTTTATATAAAAGAACCTGCCTGTATAGTAAAATTTTAAATATATGATAAATTTGTGGTAATCATTTATGAATTTTTGTGTTACTTAAAAACTATAGTCTGACGTCATAAGGGGCAATTGAACAAGAAGCTAGTAGAGATCCTATTGCATAATTTTGAAGAAGAATATATCCAAATTGTTCATCAAACCCTGATGCCTTGTTTCCTGTTTTTTAAACAAAAGTGACAGTAGTAACACTAGTGACAGCAGTCTATCAATTAAGAGTATTTGTGATAGTTATTATTAATTTCCTGATTGTAATGGATTCAATAAAATTCAAGTGGTGTTTTGTTCCACATTCCACATTCCACATAGCCAATTGCATTATCTCCATAAGACTCCCGAACTGCACTATAATTTTCCGTAAATAAATAGGTATTTATATTTATTATTTATATTATAAATAAAGACAATAAAATCATTCATTAAATATGTTAATCCTTACCTGACTGCTTTTATACCTCTGATTTCGCCAATATTAAAAAGGTCGTCTCTTTTTAAAAATTCAATTCATGATCATAAAAATATCAATTTTCGGTAAAATTTGCGAAGTAGCTTTCACAAATCTCGTTTCACACATTCTGTTTTAATTCTAAGGGAGGGAAGATATTAAATGATTATTACTAAATAATAATTTTACTTAATAAAGGAATTCGAAAATTAAGAAAATAACTCGTAGACTTGAAAATATTTTATGCGACAATTTCACTTACAGACTGACACTACTGACAGTGTTGAAAGAGCATCTTCTTCCTCCAATTTTTTTCCTTTACGCAATCATCTACACATAATTTCACTACAAGGTGCCCCTTATTACGTCACAGCGGTTTTGAAATATTATAAAAAAATCAGTTTTAAATAATTATTTTAAAACTGTTCCGACGCATTTCTCAATCTCTAATTGTGCATACACACTAATTAGTACGTGTAGAATTATATTATCTACTTTTTGAAATTTGGTCAACAACCCTATTGACAATTTGAAAAAAATTTTCATCACATAATCTGTGAAATTACCTCCCGGAGTTTCCTGACGAACTTTTAGAACACCCTGTGTAAAGCCAAGAACAATTTAAATTGAAAGAAAAAGCACAGTTATTTTCAAATATCCTGATGCTAATAATCACTTAATAATCAAAAAAACATTAAAATAATATTAACTTAAAAGACATTAATTATTACTTACCTGCATGAATTCTTTTATGTGCAATCATATGGCTGAGAAATTTAGTGTGAAATCCACAAGAATCGCAGGACAAGTTCTTTTCTGATGTATGTGTTAGCATATGGGATTCTAGATTTTGTTTGAAACGAAACGATTTTGTACAACTCTCACATCTGAATGTTTTGTCTGGAGTGTGTAGTTTCATGTGTGAAATATAGTTTTGTTTTAAACGACATTTGAAGGAACAAAATGTACATTGATATATAGATTCATCCAGATGTTGGGCCCTGTGCGATATTAATCTGGAAATTTGTTCTATACTAAAATCACCTAAAAAAAGACAGGTAGGTAATTATCAGTAATCTAGATAAAGTATGAATAAGTTTATTGTAGATAGTTTGACTGTAATTTGTATTTTTCCTAAACTTGATGAATTTTTAAATGTATATTTTTTCATATTTTGTTAAAATGTTTTTTCGGGATTACAATGCTGCAAACATTAAGTGATCCATATTTAAAAAGTATAGAAGATATAACCAAATGAAAGTATCATAAGTGTGTGTTAGAAAGCACTAAAAACAAAATTACTATTAAATATTTTTCTTTAACTTTCACTGTTTACATTTTCTGCACTAAGTGTCTTTTTCACAAGTATATAAATATTTGGCTATTGATATTGCTCCCAGTGCACTAATAAACATTGTGATCAAAAAATGTTGAATTAAAAAATACTTTTACAATTTTTTAAAAATTGTCTCATGTCAAGTCAGTAGCAAACTATTTCCTGTCAATCAGTTGTACTCTGATTTTCATTCATTACTTTATTATTTCAAAAGTTAAAATAACTCATAGTCAATAAAAATAATGAACCTGAGGATATATTAATGAGTATCATCAAAGGTCACTTTTCTTAATTTAAATAGAACCATATTAAAGAGCTTAATTTTGAAGTAAATTAAAAATTTTGTTTATTATAATAGATTCTAGTGTTTCCGTCCTTCGTTTTCGAGTGCTGAAGTTTCTTAAAAAAAAAATTCCCATTATCTTGTGAATGGAAAGAAAAATTTTTGCATGAAAACTACAACAGTGCCAATTTTCACATTGATAGTGGTGTACTTACAGAGTGCATTTTACTATTTTCTTTAAAAAAAATGACACACCAATGTCTTAAAATTTTTAGAATCTCGATATATTAAAAAGATTTCTTTAATTTTTTTCCTAGAGTATGTGGGATAAATTTGATCTACGTTCAAGGCGAAATACTCGGTTTCAGCCTGATGGCTGTCCGACTCAAAACCGACTAATCATTCGAAAATGGTTTAATGCAACTTATTCGAATTGATGGACTGGCCGTGACAGATCAGTGTCATGGTTGTCCCGTTTGCAACACGTCACTCCTCCTGATTTTCTTTTACTGGAGATTTTATAAAAGATAAAATTTATTCTACCCCCGTTGATAATAGGGAAGAATTAATTGAGTGAATAGAAATCATCTGTAATAACATACAGCAAAATCAATAATTAAGCGTTTGGCAGTCCAATATAAATCGACAAGGAGATAGTATTCAAGAAAATGGGTCTCACTTTCAACATCTTTAGTTTAAAAACTAGCAGTTAGATTTATGTTTTGTCCAATTAATGTTCCATTTACAAATTTAAATTTTTTATGTTACCATTAATAAACTATTGTACCCTAGTTTCTCATCAACCATTTTAATTTCGTCCAAAAAAATTGTGGCGACAGTTATTAAAATTTTACTGGAAAACCATGCAATTTAGTAAAAACATTGGAAAATAGTTTTTCTTAAAATATCTAATGATTCTGAAAATGGTGTAATATAGCCATTATGACATTGATGTATAATTATTATTAAAATAGTAAAATGCACCCTATAAGTAGGTCACTGGTGAATCCATCAACGCGAAAATTGCCACACTTTTAGAAAGCAATTCAAGAAATATTTCCTGTACAAAAAAAATTATTATCTTTCCATTAACAAGATAATCAGAAAAAAATATTTTTATTTTGGAAACTTCAACACGCTGTACCTATCTCGAAAATGAAGAGGTTTGACGAAAACACCTTGTATGTGTTGATATAAATAATTATACTTACAATAGTCACACTTAAATGGTGGTCCAGTAAAATGAGTCTTCATGTGATTTAAATAATCTCCATGATACTGACAAACAAATGAACATATTCCACATTTGTAAGTAACATCTTTGGCATGGCTTAAGGCCAGATGCTGTTCCAAAAGTAAACTGTCATTTATTGTTGTAAAACAAATTGGGCATTTTATTCCTACTTTCTCATCCGGATCTTCCTCAACTGCAGTTGAAACATATACAGAGTGTTAAAGATGTTTGACGCAAATTTGATCTAATGTAGGGTTGCCAGATGTCCGGTTTTCAACCGGACAGTTCGGTTTTTTTGATGCCTGTCCGGTTGAAAAAAGTTTGGTAAACCGGACAAGCAAATGTCCAGTTTTTTGTTGAATTCATAAAATATCCTACAATTTGGGAAAAAATGTTTGCCTAAAAACGGTAACAGCGGCAACAGCGCGCGGAAAACGAATTTATTTGCTTTGCGTTTTCTTTAACATAAATAGCACTTGCACTGAATTCAAAAATAACATATCAGGTAATAGAGAGTTGTTAAAAGCAGCGACATCTAATGAAAAATATATTAAAAAATGAAAAAGATTTGAACATTATTGACATTTTTTTTACTTAGGTGTAAATATTGTTTCGTTTGTTTTTCATTGTGGAATAAAAGAATTATTTATTTAATTTGTTTTTTTTTGGAATGCTGTCAGGTTTTTTTTTCGAGCACATCTGGCAACCCTAATCTAATGGTTTAACTAATTAAGTATGGTCACAAAACTAACAACCCAGTTGCACAGATACTGCGAAACATCGTCATTAAAAACTCTAGTATTTAACACTATTGAATATTTTGGATAGCAACTGAAATTAAATGCACTTAGATTTCCAAAATATTCAGTGGCTTCGAAATTCTAGGATTTTATATGTCCACTATGGTTGACAGATTTGTGTACCAACTCTGCAAATTTTTGCCCATAACAGTTAATACCAGTTTCATAAATTTGAGTCAAATATCTTATGAGGTATATTAAGAACTATTTTTTTATTGATTTGTATTGTAGATTCCACCTTTAAAGTTTGGCAGAGTATTTTATTAACATCCTGTATAGTAAAATACATACATACTTCATTTCATTAATATTTTTAATAAAAATATTTGAAATATTAATGTGGTCTTAATAAATTGCTTTTACCTTCAACTTCATCTTTATCATTTTCTGAGAATGAAATTTTTTTCTTTTTGCAAGTTAACATCTTTAAGGCGGCCATTCTCAAACTTGGTTTAAGTCCAAATAACATCAGTCTTTTTAATATGAGTTGTTTCCTATTTTTTAATCGAGCTTTTACTAATACTGAGCTAAAACTATTTTGATTAGAATTAGAGTCGTTTCTTTCTGATACAATGATTTTATCTTGTTTGCCATCAAACTCTGGTTTCTCATTTAGGGGAATCTAAAAAAAAATAAAATAAAATAAAATAATTTATAATGCAACAAGTAAATGATTTATTAACATACCTGTCCAAATTTTGCTTGGAGGGCATCATATTTTGTCTTGAAATTTGATAACATCCAGTTATTTCTCAGTAGATAATCTAAAAATCTGTATAAAGACATTTCACTTTTTACGTACAATATACATGTATCCAAATGTTTGAAAACTTCAGCAGGTTCAAGGTTGTTAGTAGGAAAGCACTTTATTAATTTATCAAAATCTTTTTCCCTCTTGTTTAAATCCACTAATACCCACTGTGATAGGACTGTTAAAGCTTTGTTAGTAGTTAAAATGAAATTCTAAAATAAAACATTGACAATATGAATTAAACAGAAAATGTTAACAAATACAAACACTCGCAAATACTGTTACACAAATGAGGAATGTTACTGTTTATCAAAAATATCATTAGGACATTTGAGAGAATGAGTAACGTCAGTTATAGAATAAGATTAATGCTAACAATTCTTTTCAAAGGTATGAAGAAAGATTATCCTTTAAATAATAAAAAACTAAACCTAGGTGGAAAACATACTATCTATTTATCCCTGTTTTTGGTGGTATCTCTTTTAGCACATTTGGAAGAGAAACATTTTACATTTGCGTTAAAAATGAGATGTGTAAGCACATTTATTATAAATTTCATTTGGCATTAAAAAGGTATAATGTATGATTAAACACCTGTAATGCCAAAATAATAAATATTTAAAGTAAAAACGTATTTTATTTTGTTTAGAGTAGGTGACATCACAAAAGATGATCTTTCTTGGATTACGAAATATCAGACGATACATTTCCCTGCTTTAGACAAGACATATACGTCACAATTTTAAGTTATTATGTAAATTGTATTCATAAAAAATAATGTCACACACCTTATTTTTAAAAAGTTCTTGGAGTTCATTGCAATTCAGCCTTAAGATTTCTTCTCCTTTGCAAACCTCATCAATGTGGCTAATAATCCAATTTTCTACTATATTACCTAGGTGTTTCAATTTAAATCGTTGTGTTAAAAAATACGTAAATAAACAATTATCTAAATTCAATTTTGTTCCTAAAAACTCAATACAATATTCTATAACCTTGGTTAATATAAAATGATCAGCAAGTTTCAATAATTCCTCTACATTGGAGTGTTCTATAGTGATTTCTCCAGTATACATAAAATTTAGCACAGCATTAAATATTTCACTATCTAAACAGGACACAGTTAACTGTTCTCTTAGAACTTTATGGTGCTTCAGTATGGAATCAAAGTATGGTGAACTGCAAGCCAAAACATTACGATGAGCTTTTATTATTTTGTTGTTTACATAAAGAGTAACATCACAAAATCTGCTGGATTTTTTCTGTTCAAATAATTTTTGAAACATTGTTGAAGATAATTCTGTACTTTGGAATGTCATAGTTTTATTATTTTCCATTGTAATCATCTAAAATCAAATTGTTTTATGAATATTTCTTTTTATAGTAAATACGAGAAAACCTTGGATATCAGTTAGTAAATCATTTAGAATCCTAAATTGTCACATCTTTCTCTTTTCTCATTTCAAAAATATCAGTAAACATATCAACTCTTCATTTACAACCTAGAAAATCAGTGTAAAATGGTAAAATGTAAATTATAAAATCGAAAAAATTAACAGTTTAACCAACCTGGCAACTAATCACAGAACTACAAAATTTGAAAAAGGCATAGAACCACAAAATAACTTCCCCAGATTGTAGACCAGGTTTTCCAATTTTCTATCCGTGATAATTTTTAAGATGCAAGCGCACCAAGCGACGAAAGCAGTAAGCTCCGAGACAAGGTAATTTTGACATTGCCGTTCGTGTTTACACATTCATTTGAACATTTGTCTTATTTGCCATTATTACTAGTAATTTTGTTAGCAATCTGCGGTTATTTGACTTTTGTGTTATTTTATAGGTTTCAAATATTTCATAAATAAATTTTAAGGCAAGTATTTATGTTTACTTTATTTGTCTAGTATTACAATTTAATGTACATTTTATTAGGTTATAAATATGAACTTATCCGTTGTATATCAGAAGGAGGCAGATTTTAACGCTGATCATGTCCCACTAAACACGAAACGTAAATGAAACGTTGCAAATGAGATGTTTTACTAAACATTTGAAACATTAACTAGAAACGTTTCTGTTTCATTACAGAAATGTAGCACTTGAAAACTTATTTAGTGAAACATAGCCGAAACGTTACAATTGAAGAGAGTTTGAAACATTACTCGAAACATTCCCTTTCGATCTCGGAAACATAGACGAACAACCCTTTGCTATTTTTGCTTATGGAACATTCGGCATTAGTTAAATTTTGCTCTCAATCCCCAATCCTTCTCAAGCGTTAGTTCATTTGCCTTTGTTATATAAAGACATAATTAGAAAAATGTGGTAGCATATTTATAACACAAGTTTCGTGACTTACGTAGACTGCGCGTAACAGCTCGAGTTTATTTGTTTCCCGTGTGTTGTTTCAATTCGTATTATGTTAGGTTAGGTTTGCGGTTTGTCAGTTTGCTTGGTTTCGTTGTTATTCATCTTTACTTTGACGCTATTTTATGTGATAATTTGTAGTGTGTGCAGTTGTGGT